CCCGGAACAGCTCATGCTTATACACAGTATAAAGGCGGATTGGTTCTCACAGGGACAAGTGTTCTAGTGGCTTCAGCGATGTTTTGTGACCAGGAAAGCAAGGAAAAATGGTCTCAAAGACAGCACGAAGGAGGGCTTTTCTGTCTTTTCAGAATCATGCTGGTTCTGTCTTCAGAAGAAATTGGGATAAGGAAAAATGTACTAAATCTAGAAAAGTAATTTCAAGCAAATGCAACCTTTTCTGCATGAGATTACCAGTAATCAATTTTCAAAGGCCTTATAGCTGTAAAAATAACTATTTAGATTTCTACATGTCCATGTGGAACACAGACTCCAAATTGGGCCTTCCCAACATCAGTCTATACAAACAACCAGAACAGTTTCTCATAGTCATCCCCACCTAAACATCTCACTATTTTATTTAAGAGGAAGAGGTGCAGCAGCCTGGGACAAAGGCTCTCCACTAGCACACTACAAACCTTACTTGAAAAGATGGCTGTTCTTGATGGTAGAACACAGAAAGATGAACCTGAGACTCATTAACTGCAGCTATATGAAGAAGGAAGGGAGAGCACAGCTATTCTGTTCCTTGGTTTTCCTGCAGCTTGTATCTTTGGCTTTTGCTAAGTGTGCCCAGAAGCAAAACCAGAGGAAATAAACAACATATGGGGATAATATTTTATTTTCTGATCTTCACAGATAGCTAAAATGCCCCAAAGAAATAAAGAAAAATATTATCCCCAAACATGTTTAATTTTTTATTTGGCTTCACCAAAGTTCTCTAGATCATGTAACTACATCCAGGTAGCAGAAGCCATCATTTAGGGTTGGTGACATTTTTACTTCCACAAAATGTGCTTTCTGCTCTTCAGAAGGAGCACACAAGGTTGATCAAACAGGCATAGGCAAGGATGGGCACAAGCTATGAACCTTGATTATCTGTGCTGAGAAACAGTTCCTGGGATGTAACTAGGCACAAGCAGGAGCACACACAGGCCTGCAATCGTTATCAGTACTCAGGCTGGTTCTGTCCAGCCTGCTTTGGAAAGTATAGGAGTGACTTGTCTAACTTGCTCTCAGGGCCAAAGAATGGACCCTAGCTGTTTTTAAAATTTCAATACACATGTAAGCACAAAGGTTTTGCGAGTCCAGGGAATAGGAGGATCCTCAAATCTCTGTCATCTAGATGTGTCAAAACATTTCAAACCAGGCTGTGTCAGACAGGAAAGGCTTTGGATAAAAAGGCTGGGTTATGCCCCCAAATTCTGTAAGCACAAAGCTAATTAAGGAATTGAAATCAGTAGAGTAAAAAAAATGTATGAAAATGAAAACTTCAGCTGTTAATTTCAACACATCTAAGGAAGGGATGTACTCAGCAAAACTGTTATGCAGGTGTCCTCGATATTCATTATTTTCCACACAATTCTTTGTGGTTTTCAGCAACTGAGCACTGCATGGTACAGGTCTTACCTAGGGATTAAAAGAAAAATTGTGTCAAATTAGTATTGTTCTAGAGAAAGAAATCCCAAACCTCTTTTAATTTTGAGGTTGAAAAATTTTTGGGGAGGTGATCTTTTTGTGGCAATTCACTGAGGGCCCTGTGAAACTTGGTCATTTTTTCTAGTCCTGAATATTTTTGCAGACATCTGCTCTCAAATTAAAACTGAGATGCAACCTCTCAGAGTTTTGCCATGTAACAGGCACATTTCCCTTGGCACATATGAACATATGCATTTACATTGTTCTTGCACGAAATATATTGCTTTACCATGAAGTATGAAGTAATCTTTCAATAGTCTTGTTTTATATCTTCAAGTTGAAAAGAATATTGCAACATTAAACTACAAAATTAAGCTGAAATTCTCAAGAGAAAAAGGCTGTTTTGTGAGGTTATTAATCCTTCCTGTTTCCACTCTGTCCAAAAATACCACAATTTCAATTTTGGTCACGGCATTTCAGCACTTCTTTCTCAGCCAAAATCTCAAAATACTCAAATGCAAGTAAAGGAAATAATCATGGGTGATCTCAAAATTTCATTCTCCCTTCCCTTCTACCCTCTCTTCAGCTTTTTATACTGAAACTACCCCTCTTCCATCCCTTATTAGACAAAAGATTAACTTTTTAATTGCAAATTAAATTTGATCCAGTAGTTCTAAACTTTTATGCTTTTGAAGAGAGAAGAAAACTGTAATNTTTACTATGAAATGTCACTTTTAAAAGTATTTTTTTGGTTTAGTGGTTATTTTTATGTTGGAACTTCTTTACTAACAGGCATGAAATGCCAACATGGAAAAGTGACATTTGGACACTTATTTTTTACGAAATTGGATATTGTGAAAGGTACCAGCATTCTTGCTCTTCCACCAACTTTAAAAATCAAAAAAATCACATTTGTTTGAAAGAAGTCAGGTTTCCAAACAGTTTTTCATGCTTCATCTGAGTTTTTTGAGTGCCTTGCTATTCCTGTGTGGGGCAAAGAAAAACGAGACTGGGGCTTGATCAATGGTTGGATTTAGCACTGAATGCTGAAAAGCAAAGAAAACTGCAGTATGGGTAAGGGTATTTATACTAGTTTGTATCTATGTAAAACAGTTGAAGCAGTGTGTATTATATGCAGAAATATAAGGGGCACTGTTCAAGCTTGCAAAACAAGCCTGCCATGGGACTCATTGCAAACATACTCAAAACCTAAAATATTCTAGCATATCTCTACCTTTACCAGCCATTTCACTCACAGGCTGGCATTAACCAAAACCCACTTTGACCACTACCCGAGGAGTGCCTCTAGCTCTGTTGGTGTGGAGTTTCCCAATCAGTCTTCCTAAATCCACAGCTTCTTCTGAGACCCCCCAGGCTGCGATACCAGTGGGACAAAGACCCAGAACAAAGAACACAAGAATAAGGATGGTGACAGATACTGCAATGTGCAGGATATTACTCCACAGCTCAGATTTTTTTTACCCTGGTGGGCTGTGATCAACAGAAAACTCCTGCCCTGTGTCATCAATGACAATCTCTAACTTCCTGCTTCTTAATCCATCAAATCCATGCTCAGAGTGAGAGAACATCAGGCTTCAGCTGAGTGGGAGTCAGTGTGAGTCACAGCTACAGGACATTTGAGAAATACTATGACTCCTCAGTAGATGCATGTGCACAGTTAACTCCCAGTTAATTCCTCTTTCTAATTAACCAGTTAACTCCTCTTTCTGCTTAGCACCATATGATGGAGCAGTGTCTGCACACATCAGTTCTTCAGTGCTCTGCAGAAAGGAGCTGTACTTCTCAGCATAGTTCTTTGTACTGAATGCTCAGCATCAGGGAAGGAAGGTTTTTCTGTAGCTTGCTGTTATCCCAGGAACCCAAATTGTATCACTGCCTTACAGAGGTTTCAAGAAATATTTTGCAATGCAAAATACACAAAGGAAGAGGTGCTGGCTGAAGTGATAGGAAGAAAAAACAAAAAAAAAAGAGCATGTACTTTAAAAAAGGCTAACCAAAAAAAAAAAAAAAGAGAGAAGCAAAAATTTATCAGAAGAGAGAGAAAAGAAAAATCAAAATAGGATCATGGAGACACCCTGAGGAACTGAGGGAGGTGGCCAGAATGGTGCTAAAACCACATGTGGAAGGAAGAGCAAAGAGACAGAACAGGTAAGGAAGGATAGAGAGCAGGTAGAAATGCAAGGAGAGCTTAGAAGTGGATGAATGGAAGCAAAGCAAGGGTAGAAATGATAAAGAAAGAAAGAAATAGAACAGCTAAGTAGGCTCTCAGGAGGAGGAAAAGTCTGAAAGGCTGAGGGGAGAATAAGAAGAGAAGGGACACAGGTGAAAATGAGACTGCAAATTTCATTTTTCTGGGCATAGCATCTCTCTCACACAGCATCACTTTCTGACTAGTACAATAGGTTTATCCTGCCTTTAGATGTTTCCCTATCCATCATAAGGTCTGAATTTGGTCCATGGTATCCCAGTCGCTCCAGTGCTTTGTTCCAAAAGATACTTGTTTTCATGGCCAGTCCAAAGGCTTTCTTTATATCCAGGAAGTCAGCAACATTTAATGAAAATGTGAAAGAAGAAACCAGCATACTTCTAAACTAAGAGCAGACTTGAACAGGATGAGGAAATCAGAACCACAACAAAGATAAATTTCCTTTTGTATTTCTTATTCAGTAAAGATGCAAGCAAAATTTAATTAGCTGTGTTTTTTTAGTTTTTTCTTTCATTCATTTCACCAACAAATCCTCTGCAGGCTTTGCTGATACCCTAAACTGCTGATACAGTTTAACATTTTCTTTAATCAACACATAGATGACAAAGGATTACAAGAGTGTTTAATTCTCATTTTCTATTTTTTTTTCTTTTGTGGTTTCTTTTATGTTCACTCTTGGGGTGGCTAAAAACTAATTATTTAAATCCTTCTCAAAGTCTTTAATCTCTAAACGTTTGTATCTCTGTGAGAGAGAAAAAGGCAGAGAAACAGACTGCAAGAAGGATGCTCAAGAAAACTTTGGAGCCATAGAAAATATCACATGTTCAGATTAAAACTATTTTAAAGGTACCAAATGTTTCCATGACCTGATGACAAGGAGTTTGACTTCATTAACTTTGAACAGTTTAGAAGATTACTTAGAAAATAACTAATGGCAAGTAGCAAGTCTCACACTTTGGATTTTCAGCAGTGCCGTGAAGAAGATACAGGAACAAGTTGATCACATGCTAATGTGATTATTGAAAATTCCACCTGATGCAAATGGCAAATTGAAACAGGCTGGGATGGGTCTAGGGAGAGGTTGGGAAGTGGCTTCACATGGGTGCAGCTTGAAGAGAAAAAGAGAGCCATCTACATGCCCATGAACAGTTTGGAGGGGAATGGGAAGGGGAACCAGGTGAAGAGGAGAGGCTGCAAAGGGAGTGGCCAGATAGCATGTCCTACCACCAGCACCTGCTGCACCACTTAAATAAAGCCCAGAGAGTTTGAACTGTTCAGAATCTGTGTTCTGGCAGCAGGCAGCATAGACAGCCCATATCAGATTTTGCCTGGAAGATTTTCACCCTGAACCAGGCAGAACAACTGAAAAATCGTAGACAATGATAATTGGCAGAGATTTGCTGTTTCCTTGCAGTGGTTGCAGGTGGGGAGGGAGGAGGGATGGACAGTGACAGATTGTTTTAAGCTCTGGGGCTTCTGCTCCATTTTAACTTTTCAAAACAGGAAGTTTCATTCTCTTCTGAAATCTATGGAATGCAACTTCCCAGCACTGAATGTCCCCTTCACAAAAAGAAAGGGGGATCAAGGCACCATGATGAGACAGACATCTCTGCAGAGAGATGGCCTCAGCATCTTGGCTGTTTAGTAAGAAACACTGAGCATTGCTTTAAACTAGAAGCTAAATGTATAAATGAATATGAATTCTGCCACATTGAGACTCAATCATCATATACCAAGTCTCCCTTTTTTCTTATAATTTCCAGCATTAATTTGATGGATTCTGCTTAAGAAACTGTTCATTATGGCCTGGGCCATAGAAACAAAACAGTAAGTTTCAGATAAAATTTCTCTTGTGAGTTTTGCTTTAGTTGTGTTGTTGGTGTATTGGCCTTGTTGCAGAGGAGAAATCAGTCCTGCACTTTAGCAACTTTGGCCAATTGCAACTGTTAGTGTATCTTTTATGTTGTTATTTTATAATTTTTTTACTTTTCTTAGGGGCTTGAAACACACCATGGAAGACCATGCTTCTACCAATTGCTCTCTGTTAAATAGTGTTGCCAGTTTTCTCCTGACAATAGTAAACACATTTGACAAAGAAGTAACAGGACAGATCATGCAGCATCTGTATATTGGTGACAGTGCATTGATGATGGTATTTTCATCTTTGCTCTTCATGCATATAGATTATCATTATCTTTCACTATAATTTTATTAATCAGTACTTTCAAATAACAAATAATAAAAAAAAAAATTACTTTAGGAGAGCAAGAATTAAGTTATGCCAGGGAATTAATTATATTTTATTAATTTCATAAACTTTAAATTAATATATTAATATATTAATTTTATTAATTTTATTAATTTATATATTTTTTGCACACATTTCCATAAGCAAAATTCAGTTCATGCTGATCTACTACATGGTTTCATCATGCTACAGGGTTTCACAGTGCAGTTTCCTATTGTTTGAGTGTCTGCTATAAATATAAGGGAGTTCACTATTTTTGTCCTAAACTCCCTATGTTTGTAGTTTATCACAAGACCATGAGAAAATTTTGTGTGGCTAGAAGCCTTTATTTCAAAGATAATGGAGAATGGAATACAAATGGTTGATCTGAAAGTGCAAAGGCAAAACTACATTTGGAAACTTGTAAAACACCTTTTTCAACTATTTGTAAGCTTGCCTTTTAGTGAATTTTCAACTCAGTGTTTGAAGAACACATTTAATAGACAGTGAAGTAGGATACATCTGCTACAGATGCTTCTGCGTATAAATAAAATGCCTCCTGTTTAATAGCTTTTGTCAATTGCCTCTGAGAAACACTCAGTGTTGTGGTTAACAGCAGAACCTATGTTTATTCAGACAATCTAACATGCAGGCAGATTTCTGTTCCCATGTAAAGTTCCCTACCTTTCCCTAAAACCCTGTGCAGACCAGCTGTGCTCTGGCTCCCTGGTAACATTACAGCAGTATTTAAGGCCAGAGCCTGGGACTCTAATGAGAACAGTGTAGATTTAAAGAGTCAGCCAGATTTGAGAGGGGAGTGGAAGCATCACTTTATCCCATCTCTTTCCTGTGAGTCAACATACAGTGCTCTCACAGGTGAGAGTTAAGGTGCTCTGGAGTAAAAGTGTGCCCATTTCCCTGTAACCAGGGGCTGCAGTAAGTGAGTGCAGGCTATGAGCTAACCTGCTTACAAAGTGCTGCTGCCCTTTCCCCTTCCACCTCAGGCTGAAGTGTGGTGAGGGTATTATGCTGTGATACTCGATTCACTCTGGAATTTCTTATGCTCTTTGCCTTAAAAACCTGTCTGGAGGGTGCTGCTAGATGGGCTGAAGGCACATCTGGTAGGTTGCCAGGTTTAAGTGTGGTGTCTGGGTCCATTTCAAAGCAGGGTTGCAGCACCATGGCTTCAGATCATGTCTTTGTGGGATCAGGCACAGAGCAAGGCTCTAGACAAGCCCCAGCATGAGCCATCCCTACAAACAGTCCCTGGCTCACAGCAGCCTAAGACCTCAGACAAGGGCATAGTTAGTACCAGATGCAAAGGCACCTATCTGTGCTTATTGGCTGACTTTCTGAGTAAGGAGGTGTATGTGTATATAAGAAAGGGATTTCAAGAACATGGCAATGCTGCTTTTATAGACCAGATATATTTTTTTTAAGTTGAATTTTATTTTTTCTCTTGGGTAAAGCGAGAAAAAAATGTAGCTAATGTGTAATACAGACGTCTGTACTGATGTAATGGTTTAGGCCATCATCAGGACAAAAAAAAGTTGAACCATATTTTCTGAAAAGTCAGCAAATTACATGAGGGATATAAAGAAAGTTGAGTTGGGAGTAAGTGCATAATCTAAAATTTAGCAATCAATCAAGAAATTAGGTTTATGCACACTGTTTCTGATAGTAAATAAAATCTGTCCTGATCAATGGAGTCACTGAAGTTACATGCAGTGTTTATATCCTAGCTGAGTTTCACCATCCTTGTACAAGTCTTCTGAGAACCTGTTTCCAGTAACAGAACAAGGTTGGCCGTGCTATACACACATCTGTTTCCTGGAGCATGGCAAATCTGCAGTTTGCATCACAAACGGGGTTGCACATGTTCTAGAAAGCCTTGGGCGTTGATTCTGAAGAGGAAAAATGTTAATATGGGTTGTTTTAGAATGGTTTTCAGGTTTAATTTAGTTGGTTACTCTGAAAACAGAAACCTATATAAATTCTTAGCAAAAGCAGAGAGACTTTACTTACCATAAAACTTTTTTAACTGCATAGAATGATGATGAAGTTTGTAGTGAATAGTTCTGTGCAAAAGTTCTGGTGAGGTTTATCAAAGATTGTTGGCCACCAGAAGACAGAAAAAAATACCAGCAGAAAAGAAAAATGGATATAATTAACTAAAATCTCAGCTGACTTAGAGCACATTTTGTTTGCCTGCCTGACAAGCACATACATCACATGCAAGATTCATGTTTGGTTATATTTTCCTTTTGCGGTCTGGTGACAACTGAAATACAAGATGTCTAGCAGGAAGTTCTTGGTAACTTTCCAGGTCATGAACAGGTGTAAAACCTGAGATGTTATGCAAAACACTAGAAATTATCTCAAACAGGATTATGAGTGTAGTCAACACCTGTAAAAAGAGAAGCAGACACATTGCAATGAAAATCCATTTTCTTTGCAGGTTTAGAAGATACACATGCCAATTCTATTGCTCTGGGAAATGTACTGAAACCCTCAGTCTTAATCTATTGTCCTCCTAATATAATGCTATAATCTGTACTTCCAAAACATGCAGAAACTCCCACCTACCATGGCCATGAGTATTACACATTACACAAGGCAATCACTAGATTGGAGTCAAAAATCCTGGTGTCAGCAGGTATCAAAACACATTACATACTTGTGACCTTTTAGCAATTCCATATGTTCACCATATTGGCAGTCAAGTATGGATTCAGGCAGTACCCTTCTTCATAAAAAAGATGGCGAATGAAGTCAAATTTTGTTGTAACTTTCTTAGGACAAATGCTATTTTTTCATAATCTTTTTCTGTGAGTATTTTTTAAATGCTATTGTTAGATCAAAATCAATTTCTCTTCTATTTTTCTCAGCTTATGTCAGGCTCAACTGTCCTAGCAATTTGTTAATGCAAGGAACAGCATAGAAGACTCCTATAATAGCAGTTTCCAAGCTTTTCCAGTTTGCAAACCTAATTTTTTTCAAATGTGTTGCTTTTCCTTGTTGAGTCAATACAAGGTATATCAGTAGAGATTCTTCACAATGTTTTGTGGATTTCTTAGAAATAGTCCATGGACCAGCAACAAATACAGTTCACCATTCGAGATTAACACTGTAGAAAGAACATTGATAAAATTGATAATACTACACATAAATCCACTACCATTCATTTTCATCTGCTAGTACTTGTTCTTGCACCTTGGGAAAAAAAGTTCAGTTCTGCCATGAGGTCTATTGGAAAAACTGATTTCTCCCAGTTTACAAATTAACTGATGCCACAGGTTTGTATTTTGGTATCTGTAGCAGTGTTGCTGATTGCCTCAATTATAGTGTGTTTGTTTGTCCTTTTGAGTCTACCTCTGATGACATGTAATGAAATGAATAATTCCTTCCTCATATTTGCTGAAGGTTTATCACAGCCAAATGTTTAGGTTGTAATTATACAGGCAGGATGCAGGGACATCTGTGCTTCTGTGGGGACAGAATTTAATTTCTTAAATCGTGGTTGATGTATCCCTGAAAACATTCCTGACTCAGAATTCTGAACCTGGAGAAGTAGTGACTGAGCAAGGATCTGTTTAGATTGATCCCTGTAACAGGAAGTCAGACTGTGGATTATGTGGTTCTTGGCTTTCACAGCTTGTGAATTTCAAAATAGATGTGCAATACAAAGGAAGAAAATGAAAAAACCCTTAATGTCACTCATTTAAAAGAATTGTTCAAATTGAGGTTTAATTAGAGATGAGATAAGCTTGTAGGACTTGGATCTGTAAAACTTACTATTTCATTTGTTTTATAGGAGGAAATACTGGCTCCAATATTTAGTTTCAGACATGCTATTTTAGATTTTTCTAAAGATTTTTTTTCCTAGATTTTTAAGTTTGTTTTATCCTCATCTTAAACTAAATAAAAAAAAATTACAATATTTCAAACATTGTGCCATTCAGTTGTTACCAAAACCCAATGGCAGTTTCTCTTCTTGTTAGTTGAAAGCTAAAAATAGGGGAAAAGAAACATACTAGCCATTCTTGTTTTGGCTGATACTGTGAATCTTGGGTTTTCTTTTTATATGCCTTTGTGCGCAGAGATGTAACTGTGTTGGGAGGAAAGATTTGAGAGACCTTGAGGTTTTTTGAGCTTTTGACTGACCTGGGACCCACTGTCTAAAAGAGACTGAGCTGTACAAAGAAACTTTGCTTGTTGCCCTGCTCCCTGTCCATAAGCAGGTAAACATCCCCTTCACCCTGCTGAGAGACACCTATCACTGCAACCCAGAAAACCAAACAGAAATTTATTGAAATGCTTTTCAAGTGAGACACTCTTGGGAAGGGCTTGCAGATTCATTTGAGAGCCTACATCTGGACTCACCCATGTGTGTCTAGCTGGGAATCTCAGCCCACATCTTACACTAACTTGCTTAGGCATTTCCCAGGAATGCAAAGAGGTCCTGACATTCAATGGAGAAGTTTAGACAAGTTTCATTAAGCTAATTATATATGGACATAGAACCAAGTACTGGAAAGAGTCTTATGAAAAAAATTAATATTTCTGTAAGTAGTGTGTAGGGATTGATTTCTGATGGTTTAGCATATGTGATTGAATTTTCTGGTATCTAATAAGATACAAGAGACATGTGGAAACAATATCTTGAAGATCTTTACTCCTTGTTCTGAAATTGTCTGAGGAATTCAAAATTATTTAGGAACATGCATAAACGCACCATGTCGGTTTGGGATTCCTGAATAACAATTCATAGGAAGGAACAAAAACTTTCAGACTTAGATACTTTAAAACAACCATCCAAAAACATGTTCTGATGCTCTAACCATTTATACAGAAGGCATGATGAGTACTCACTAAAAAATTCAGGTCTCCTCTTGTGGTGCCTAGCATCATAAATATTAAATCTTTGTCCCAAAGTGTAA